CGAACACCTATCTCGTGGGCGTAAAAAGTCTGCTGACCTTGAACTTTACCGCGGCGTACAAAGTCTGCCCGTGCGAACGCACGCTTAAACAATACGAAACGATTGGTAAACTTCACATGGCAATTTTATATCATGACTTTAACTATATTAAGTTGACACTTAACTCATACCGGTTAAAGAGGTCTTATTGCGTAATTGAAAATAATTACTGACACGGCATAGCACTTACGGTACAAGTCTCTCATCAATGTCACAATGCAAAACAAAAGCAATAAATGTATGAAGACTTTGCCGGCGATACTGAATAAATGGTCTAAGTGGTCCTAATGGTAATGGTCCTCTATATAAAAACCTAAATGGTCCCGTTGGTATACTATATATTATATACTAAATCTATACTAAAAAGTTAGCAAAAAATTACTCATTTCAGTATGTAGGAAAAACTTTGACCTAATCTTGACGATAACTAAGTCAGAGATTTTTATAACTTATGTTAACTAGCTCAACTCTTTAGGTAATTAGGTTATTTCCATTCAAATATATAAACGCTTAATTCTGCTGATATTTGAATTTACCCACATCGTAAGTAGAACGACTTAATATTTCACAATAACACATTATAATTTTTACGACATATCGTGTAAATTTTTAATTGAGCAAACGAGTGTCACCGCGTGGAAGATTTTGCTATTGCAAGCTCTTTGATTACGAATTAAATGTAGCAATATTGAATGCGTCGACTTTTGAATTTATACTAATATAATAAAGCGTAAACACACTACTTTGTGACGTAAAATGTCAGCAATCACAGCATATTTTAAATAATTCTTTATTAAAATGCCCTACACTTACGATACGCTTTAGGCTATATATTTTCACGCAATTAAACTTAGAGGGTAAATAAATTGGAATAAAATATTAATGGGACAATAAACCACAAGCTGTCAACATTAAGGAAGTAAGGTTACTATAGTAACGGTCATTTTGACATTTGCAATTGAAAATTTGACAAATGTAAACAATAGAATAAAGTTTTTATAATTTTCAAGCCGATGAAGCCGCACGGGAACAGGTAGTATAATAAAATGAGCATATTCAAAAACATAAAAAAACTAATAATAGAAAAAGTTTATGGCGAGTGTGATCGAACTTGGTTTTATCAATATTATTTTGGAATTTTGATTCTCACGCCAGCAATATGTGTTTTCTGCCTATTTAATAGACCCTATGACACTCGGAAGAAGAAGACGATTGGAATGACACCTTATTCGTGAAAATAGACTTAGTATTTCCGGCTGTATGCCGTTACAATTAAATATAAATACACATATAAAAACAAAACACGCGAAAAATATAGCCGTTGTTAGTCAGTGTCGATTGTATAGAAAAAACTACGTTAAAATAATCGTGCCGTTATCTGAGGATCAAAGACAAGGTCGTACGAAGGCGCTGTTATTTGGTACCGATAAAACCATTTAATTTTGTACTTAGATACTCCTATCTACAGTGAATCAACATTCGCAAGAATGACTGTTACAACGATACGTGGCAAATATACCTAGAAACGATACAATATCATTTAAAAATACCACTTTAAAACTATTTTTAAATGTTTAACTAAACAGACTGGTTTTATAATTAGAATTGTTGTTACTTCAAGGGTTTTCCAACTAAGAATTTATCAAATAAACAACAAAATACTTTGTTACTTAAAGAATATGATTGTTTCCTTGATATTTTTAAGAGTTTTTTTTTACAATAATCTTGAGAATGCAAATATTTAAATGGATGAATGAAAGATCTCCATGAATTTTTGTATAGATGTAGAGCGAAGTCTGGAAAAACACATAGGCTACTTTCTTTATTTATAATTCCACGACGGTCGGAGTCGCGTGCGAATGCTAGTAATACATAAAATCATATATTGTGTTGTATATATGTATATACTTACATTATTCTGGTCGCCGACGTCAGGTAAGTGTAGGGACTCTATACAAATAACAAAGTTCTCCTTCATGTAGCCGGGATTCTGAAAACAAAAGGTAACCTTAAAAATATTCAATCCAAGGAAGTTATATTTCATAAAGTTTTCTTTTTGTTTTTCGTATGTTTTGTTTATACTGTGCGGAAGTCGCGGGCATCAGTTACTTTATACAAATATTATGAAGGGGAAAGATTCGTATTTTTTTTTTTATGTGTATTGAAATAACTCTAAAACTACTGGACCGATTGCAAAGATTCTTTCACCATTAAAAAGGTAATTTATCTGCAAGTAACATAGGCTATATGTCTTAATTTACGTGGACGAAGTCGCGGGCAATATGTTAATAAAGGTGTACTTGTCGCCTAGGGGTAGGGAGGCAAGGGAGAGCAGTCCAATCTCACATGGTAACCGAATTACAGCCTTTCTAGACTATTTTAAGTTCCGCTTCTTGACGGCATTGAAATGATGTCATGGACAACTTAAAAATAATACCTGACATTAGCGTAGTATCGATTTACACGTCGATAATTTAGAATCGTGACGTCATCGCGATCTTAAAATAACGTTTCACTAGACTAGATGAAAAATACATGGAGAATACATCGCTGCACGTCAAGGGCGATTGTTGAAAAGCCCTTGTTATGACCTGGCATTGTATCTCTGGTGGCTCGTTTTAATTATAGACATCAAACAGTGGTAGAGCCCGCTTTAACAACTTCGCCTGATGAGTCGGCTCTCCCGGTGTAATACCACGACCACACAGAAGACAGGCGTGAAGTAGCAATTCCGCGTTTCGTCTGATGAGTGTGGTGCCGGAGACCCAACTTTAGTCCCTTTTTCTTCCCACCCTTTTTCTTATAAGAAAAGGATGAGAAGGGAACGTGGATTTGACGGTGGAAGGGACGCATAGGAAGGGGAAATAACCTCTTTATGTGCGTCCCCTCCGTCGATTATTGGTAGGCAATAGAGGCAATTTTGCACGGTTCGCAAGCATAAATTTCAATGAACTTACAGTGAGTACAGTCCGGCAATAGGGGTACGCGTTCCACGCCTCTTCGTGCACCTCGAGAGAGCCTTTGGGGGCCAGCAGCCGGATAAATGCGGGCACCTTCGACGCTAAGTGGTAAATCTTATATGTATATTGACCCGATGAGTATTTCCCACCTGGAAATAAATACACTTATTAAAGAAAATTTGAGATGAAACGAACTGTTAATTAACAATACAATTTGATTAATACCTTTTTGGTTTGATAAAAGCCACGACTTTCAATATTTTATAGTATAGTGAGCATAACAATGTCCGTGCTTAGATAATACAACGAACCATTCTTTTTTCGAAACCAAACAGATCGCGTTTAAGTCATGCCGAGTCTATTCTAAATCGAACCTAGGAACTTTCTTGCGACGTTAAAATATTCCGCTTGTCGTTTTAATTGAATTTTCCTGAGTACATTTACTATTTAATTTACAAGTTACATAATGCAGTATGAAATTCCTAAATGGTACGCATAACTACCAACTGAATAACACAGATTTCGACTGAGCGAGCTCTACTAATTGGAATTTGCCGAAACGGAGCGGAGGTTTTGAATATGAATAAGGGTCCGTATACACAAAAAAATCATCCATTTGAACCATCCATCAAAGAGTTATATCTCTTAAGTGTTTAAATTAAATTCTAACATGTAATTGAGGCTAAGGACTACAAATTGTCATGAAGACGACAAAAGGAATTCTATTTTCTTCAATACAGATATTAGACAAGTCAAAAATATAATAATCTTATATCGTATAATGTACTGTATCTATACTATACTATTATAATAAAGCGTAAACACACTTCTTTGTTGCCTAAGATGTCAGCAATTACAGCATATTTTTGACTAATTCTTTTTTTAATAAAAAGCCCCACACTTAAGTTACGCTTTAGACTATATATTTTCACGAAATTGAACTTAGGGCGTAAATATTTGGAATAAGAATCCTAATGTGGGAGAGACCATAAGTTGCTACCAAGAAGAAGAAAGCAAGATTGCCAAGGTTTGTCATGTCATGTCATTTTGACGTTTGCTATTTATAATTTGACAAAAGTAAACAATAAAATAAAATTTTCATATTTTCATGCGGATGAAGCCGCACGGGAACAGCTAGTTTACATATATATAAGACCTACATTTTTCTCGTATCTAGTGGGAATACATCTTTATGCTGAAAGTACATATAAAAGCGTAATAAAGTTCATGGTTGCTAACTGAAACAGAGACACGAACCAATTAGGCCGTGTTTGTTTCTTAGACATGAGAGAAAAAAATCACACCGTATGATATATTTACTGGAGTTTTCGTTCTTAATACATATCTATCAAATTATTTAAACTGAGACGATGTATTTCAAAATTATTCTTTATAGTGAGAAGTCACAATTATGTCGATGGAGCACTTACGTAAACAATCTCACATCTGAGTAAACGAGCTTGTGACGTCACAATATCATACTCGTTCAAGTTATAGCGTACAGTAACAAATTATTTTGAATCAATTTACAAAAGCGAATAAACAGTATAGATGTTGAATTTTTTTATCCAATATTTAGTTATTTACTAAACGGAAGGTATTACTCAAAAGACTTCCAAAAAATTGACAAGTTAATCCATCATACTGATATGATAGATGCAAAAAATTAGACAGATGGATGGACAGATGTTTGTAGCCTAAACAGCTTGACGAATCTCGATGAAATTTTGCATAGATGTAGAACTTAGTGTAGATCACATACTTTTATTTTCTAATTCCACGCGAAAGGAGTCGCGAGCAAAACCTAGTTTTTTAAATATGATTAACTGTGAAATATATTATATAACACAAATATATTACGTGTTGGAAAAAATGCAATAACTCCAAAAAATAATAATTGGTTTTAGTTTGGTTTTGCGGAATGTTAATATACGTCATTACTGGCGTTCCATAAGCCGTGACAGAATCGAAGTGTCGAGGCCCTGAAGTAAGGTCGAGATTGAGTGTTGTCAAGGGCAGACATTGTGAAAACTTGAGAAAACCTACATAAACATTTTCTTTCAAATAACTTGTTACAATTTTAAAACCAAACCATATTCCACTACATATAAGAAAGTCCTATTATCACGTCTGTCTAAAATCCTAGCTTGCGATTTTAAAGTGTTCAATAAATATGTTGTTCAATTCAAGTTAGAATTATTTTTTTCAGGTTCGTTACCATTTGATGCCTTAATGTTTTAAAGCTATCTTAGAAATCTCAAAAATACTAAATATCTTAGTGACGCAAACATAAGCCTTCGTTCACTCGGTGCATTTTTTACGCTGTGTTGGCGATTTTTTAACGCTCTCACTCATGCAAACATTTTAAAATAATTCTTATTTTGTATGAATAGCGTTCAAAATGAAACATTTAGAGATAAAAAACCGTAGCGATTTAAAAGCGATAACGTATGAACACTTATCAATACATTCATTCAATTTTAACGCGCGTTATAAAAGCGCTTCAAACTAGAAGTATTATAAAACTTACCGAGCAAAGGGAAGTCTTTGAAGGGTTCATTTTTAATGACCTCAATACCTTCGCCGCCGCCTGTTTCATTTTTGGACACCTCCGCCACGCAATACAATTGTGCCACTTGGTACTGTCAACAAAAAAAATGTACAGAATTAATAAATCGAAAAGAGTAACTCATCTTGTACTATAAAAGGTGTATTTTTTTTTACAGAACTCCAAATAATTAACATCGTTATTTACCAATTACGGTAGCACTGTGAAGGCATTAGCTAGTTTAGGGCGAAAAATAAAACTTTACACTTTAACTCGATCTCGAAACTTAACTTCCGACCTGACTTATGCAGGTCTAGGCAGATTTGAACTCGGACACTTTGTATAGTAATTGTGCTCTTATATTGTGCCGATTAATGCGCCAATTAAATTGTTAAAATGATTATAACAGATAAGTAACAACAAACGTTAGAAGTGAAAAACAAACATTAAAAAATATGTTTTAATTGAATGTTAAAAAATCTTAAACATGAACAATAACTGGTTCATAATTTATTCAACCTTCTTTTTTATTTAATTCTATCTGACCTCCTTAAACGTGGGATTAAATATTTAAATATTCATATAAACAATAGAAAAAAATCTTTACAATATGAGTTATCATAAGCCTTGTATATTTCTATTGAGAACAGAAACAAAAACTTTAAGTATTAGAAATCACACTTTCATACTAATATAATAAATGCGAAAATATAGATGAATGGATGTTTAATAGAGTTTGTAGCCTAGACTACTGAACGGATCTTCATGAAATTTGGTATTGATGTAGAGGATAGTCTGGAAGAACACATAGTCTATTTAATTTTGCATTTTTTTATTCCACGCGGACGGAGTCGCGGGCAAAAGCTAGTATCTAATCATTTAAGGGTACACACATCAGACTACTACGAAAATAAAATGTGAAGTGTTGTGTTATAATTGAAAAAAGAAAAAAATTTAGTAACATTTCTTATAGTTGGGGAATTACAAGTGTTAAAATTCGTAAAAGACCTGATATCTTCATAGTTTTAACGCAATTATGAGAAAAACAAAGTTTTATACTGATAAATATTTACAAAAACAACACAAAATAAACAATATACATAAACATACTATCAATTTACAGGATCATTTTACACATAGCTAATTGACTGTGAATACTTCGATAAAAAAAACAACTTGCGAATTAAAATATTTCGGTTTTGCTGTTCTTGATATGATTATCTATACTTCAATACTAATATAATAAAGCGTAAACCTACACTATTTTGTGGCGTAAGATGTCAGCAATCACAGCATATTTTTGTATAATTCTTTCTTTAATAAAAAGCCCTCCAATTACATCACGCTTTTGGCAATATATTTTCACACTATTAAACTTAGGGAGTAAATAAATTGGATAAAATCCCTAATGCGGGAAAGAGACCATTAGTTGCTGCCAACATCAAGGAAGCAAGATTGCCAAGGTATGTCATGTCATGTTATGTCATGTCATTTTGACATTTGCTATTGATAACTTGACAAATGTAAACAATAAAATAAAACTTTCATAACTTCATGTGGATGAGGCCGCACGGGAACAGCTAGTGTTAATACAAAAATAAGTTTATTTCTCAGAGAGACCGGAATATGTGATTAGTTCATTCTTATATTTTTTTAATGTTAAGAGGAAAGTTAAATACTAGTTCATAAGATTAAAGACTGAGTATCCATTCTCAGAAAACTTGTACCATACATGTATGATATAGTTATCTCTTTCTTTTCAAAGGGAATGAGAAAGATGGTGTTGTATACAAGTGTTTCGTCAATGAAAATGGGTGAAAAAGACGTGAAGGATACTATTAAAAGAAATCTAGCATACATACATATGTACAGTGATGAATGTTTTAAAATAATCTTATTATTTAGTTGTTGGAAATTAAAATGCATTTTTCCAGTAATAAAATTCACTATCGATATCAACTGCAACGCACGATTTGTTTAAATACCAACCAATGTTACATTGTACATAGTTTTATTACTGTAGAACCTCGATAGCATAAAAACCTCTATAACTTCAAAAAATAATATGTTCCCTTTCCATCAGAGTCCAAAACCTCTATATCATAGACCCTTGATAACTTAAAACTTCGATAACTTAAAATATTTTGTGTTCCCTTTGACTTTAACTTATCGAGGTCCTACCATATATATTTATTATGGATAAAAGTTAAAAATTTGGTCAAACCGTACATGCTATACGAGGTCTAAACTGAAGTACTAGGTAAAAAAAAATATTGCATATTAAACTAAAATATTCCCAACTTTATCAAAGCAGTTTTAATCTTTTTGAAATGTTTAATAGCCCGTAATATGAGAAATAATACACAAATTTTAATATCTTCCTTATATTCGTGATAATCAACAATTTGTTTAATTATTTATCAAGGAAACATCTATATAAGAACAAAATTAGCATATAAAAACAAATAACTCAATGTCATTGAAGAATTTTAAATCATTTAACGTTTTCAAACTAAACTATTTTTTAACACAATTCAATTATGACAATGGAATTCTTACGGACTTTACATTCATCTTAGATTATTAATTATAATAATGTCTATATTATGAAATCAATGGAAAAGACATTCAGTATCTTTTATAGTTATAACAAGTCAATAATAAATACAAAACCAAAAAAAAATATACTAGCGATTAACCCCAAATTTGTCTAAGTGGCAAAGATTATATGTCTTATCTTTTCTGGTTTATGACCCTACTAGCTTTTGCTCGCGATTCCGTCGGCGTAGAATAAAAAAAAAACAAAGTAACCTATGTGATCTTCCAGACTATCCTCTGCATCTATGCCAAATTTCATCGAAATCCGTTGAACCATTTAGGCTACAAACTCTAACAAGCATCCTTCCATCCATCTATCCATCTACCCATCCATTCATCCATCTAAACGCAATTTTTCGCATTTCGCAATTATAATATTAGTATGAAGTATGATTTCATTTGTAGAAACAATCAGATCAATTCTCTCTACAATATTACTAACTTTCGCCCTTGACCCATGTAAAATTAAAAAACAAAAATATGTAACTTTTATGTACATCCAGACTTTGCTCTATATCTTTAACAAATTTCATTGAGATCCATTCATCTGTTTAAACTAGAAACTGTAAGAAATATCAATTGATCCATGTAAACTTTCACATTTATAATATTACTAAGACTAAGAAGTAGGATAGAATAGAAGTACTGCTCTTTGTAATCTCTTTAATTTCAAATATTGCACGTTTTTTAGTCTGTGATATCATTCAAATTATATTCTAGTCAATTAACTTATGCTAATTTAGTCATTATAAACTAATTTTTTAACAATCACAATTATAAAGAATGTGAATTGTCTATATCCAGTTAGAATTGGAAAACAATCAAGTTTGAAAGATTTTTGCCATTACTCAATAGTCTATGACCTTGAACTTCTAGGCTCAAGGGCACCACAGATGATCAACCTTTGGCACATTCTATTCTAATAAGTTTTTTAAATTTTATACATAAGTTGGCACAATATACAATGACTTTATTTTCTAACCCATTATGCCATTTTGACATCGCTGAATTTAAAAAAAATGTTGCATATAATTTGCCTTTCTATGTCAAGAAATCGGCCCATCTGAGATTACACAAAACAAACCCGGCTTGTGGTCAGGCAGACAAAAAAAATTAAATGGGATTTTCAGCACACAAATACATCACCTTCCCGAAATCAGAAATTTTTCTTTTGACATTACAAACATTTTATTATGTATATAAAGGTTTATATGGATGTATGTTGGTTACTATGTATCCACTATTTAATGGATTTCTCAGAAATTTGGCATAGTAGTCTGACAGAAGGCTAATTAATTTTATTTTTAATTCCTCACAGATTAATGCACGGGAAATAACTAGTGATCCATATTTATTGGTACAGAATTTAACAGAAACAACCTTGAATATGGAAATAGGTCATATTATGTAAGACAAAATAAAGTGAACAAGCTAGAAGCACACTATCCTAGCACTAGTTCTAGAAAAACCTACCTGAATATGGAAACAATAAAAAGTAGGTCAACAGTTCCTTGTTTAGAAATAGAACAATAAGGTATTCCATATTTATCTCTATAACATCCTATATATATACAATTCCTGACACACTGACCAACTTTCTGCATTCTTATATAATTTCCATATTTTGTTTTTAAATTTACTATTAAAATATCACTATTTCTCTCCCATGTTACTAAAGCTGACATTTATGGAATACCAGCTGTTGTCACAAATACTTGCAATAGTTTGTTCTTTTTAACAAAATATATTACACCAATTTTAGACATTTTTTAATTACTAGGTCATCTTTTATGTGGATAAGCCTCAAATATATACGGTTATGTATGTTATCATCGTAAGGACATCATCATCACCATCTCACTACACATCCCCAACGAGGAGCGCAGAGCCTAAGTAAGGTAAGTTGATGGAGTTATGTATGTACCATATGTTGAATTCTCTTGATTTTTTTTATTGATTTAATGGTTTAATTGTTTTCAACTTTTACTTAAAGATATAAGATTAACATTCAGTTTAGTTTTTTACACAAGGTAAAATAATTTCTAGTTCAATTTCAAGTTAAAGATAAGATAACATAAACACAATTCATTACTATCATGCAGATAATTTTTAAGCAAATCTATAACTAATTCTTATGGCATATATGAACTTATAAGATTAAAACCTTACATCATTTGTAAAAAAACTTTAAATTGCAAATTTTTATCTACATTGAAGCAAAAAAGGCTCATAAGGAGAAGAATATACTTGAAATAGGAATTAAAAAGTTTAAAAATTTAGTTACTTCTATTTTGGTTACTACTTGTTACAAAGGACAGTTGTTAATAATTATCATTAAGTAATTTAAAGTTTTTAAAAATCGCAATTATAACTTTTAACTTATAAAAATGTAACAAAAACTCACCTCTTCAACTGTTAAAGGAAGTGTAACTCGACTGTAAAAGAAATAATTTAATTTTAATATTATCCATAATAGACTTATGAGATTTAACGTTGTAACAAAGTTCTAACATCTACTCTTGACCTAAACTACTGTCATTGTCAGATCTTTTAACATTTACAGGTTTTCAATGAAACTGTTGTAATTACAAAGAAATAATCATGTTTTAAAGTCACAAATTACAACAAAGGATAGTCGTAACCTGGACCAAATGAAAATTTTGGTGACGACAAAAAAATCGATTCTTATTCTGAATAGGACACAAAATAACCTGTACTTACTATTCTTTAATAAGCATATTGTATATTTATATTTTTTCACTTAAATGCACATTAGGTTTTTCACTACAACGGTATAAGGTTCTTATCACAATACAACACTTGAGCAATGCCCCGATTACCCGAATATTATAATTTTAAAATCTTTAATCAACCAATGACGGAAAATGACAAGGCGCATGCTTCACTTCATGATGCAACGGATATTACGTCAACAGTTACTGACGCGTTCAAGATAGGAAAACGATTCACAAAAATTAATATAGTGAGAAACACTACTTAAACAATTTTTTGCGTATTGTTTTATATATTTAAACATTTAAGGTGCGGGCAGACCTAATTAAAATACTAATTTTGCAATTCTAATAAAGTTTAAATTTTTTTCTGGTTAGTGCACTAAAATATTTCCGTGTAAATAGTCAAAACAAAAGAACATGTCTAGAATAGTATAAAAATAACATCTTGTTTTTATACACCGTTGTATTGATATTAGTTTATAT